CTGACAATAAGTGACATTTCCATATGTGTGTGGCTGAACATCTGCCTGTCTGGCTTCCCTATGTGTCAATGGGCAATAAAGGTTATTCTTTATGATGTGTGTAAGTGGATCTGCTATGAAATGTCACTGTCACCGAGAGAACGAAGGTCAGTGGAAGGGACCCGGGGCTGAGACGAACCAGCTCGGCGGATAATGCATCTGTATGAAAAGGTGTTATAAGGTTCTGCACGTGTAGCAGGGTGGAGGAGCGTCACAGTCACTGAGTGAATATTTCCACCCACGTGCCCTTCTGTTCTTTTTTGCTGTTGTCCTTTGTTTCTCCTCCTCACCCCCTTCGGTTTGCACAATCCTTCCCGTCCAAAATAAACTCAGTTTTAACCACCTAGGAGGGCGCTTTAGCAGAACACCTGCGTCACTCACACAGAGTCTCCTGGCCTACTTACAGTCCTGTGCTTCGTCATGACCTTCTGCTTGTTTTCTGTGCTTGGATACAACATAAATGCGCATTCACCATTCTGAGTATATGCATTTTTACACAATTGAGAATCTTTTTTAGATTTTACTTCTTTAGGACTCCAGCAAACCCGAACGCTATGCAAAAAAGCATTCCAGCTGTTGTTCTCGTAATCCTTATCCCTCTTTTTGCTCGCCTTCCCTTCACCCTTCCTCTTACGGAGCCCCGCAGGGGACATGGGAGAAAAAAAAAATTAAGACGGACTTTTGCGAGATCTCGCAAAACTAACTCGGGATCTCGCAAAAGTTTTAGCTGCATTCTTCCCATTGGCTTGAAGCTAACGGGAGGTCGAGACCTCCCGTTAGCTTCGAGCTATCGGGAGGTCGAGACCTACTACAGCTGGGAGGAACACCGCTTTCCCGGCACATCGTGCCTCGACCTCCCGGTCGGCTTTGAGCCAGCGTCCGAAGAATGCGGCTAAAACGTTTGCGAGATCTCGCAAAAGTTTTGCGAGATCCCGAGTTTGTTTTGCGAGATCCCGAGTTAGTTTTGCGAGATCTCGCAAAAGTCCGTCTTCATTTTTTTTTCTCCCATGTCCCCTGCGGGGCTCCATATCCTCTAATCCTTGGACAAGGTAAAAAAAATCATTTCTGGAATGCATGCATTTGTACGATCTATGCTCAGAGTGGGCTTCTGTGGTCTGAGTACGATCAGTCTCCGTTCAGTAAAGGCAGCAAATTTGCATTATCCCATTTGACTGAAATCTAAATAGATTTCTAAACATTTCTGATTAAAACGAAAGTCTGTTTTGCTTGAGGCACTCAAACCTCGTATAACACAACATTTTAAAAAAAATTACTGCAATTCTTGTGGATTTCCCCTGCCAGTAAATCCTCTACGCAGGCAAAAATACAGAGGATATTTTCATATTTTTGCTCGTGACAGCTGGGCACAAAGCACACTCTTAATTAATATGTGTGTAGTCTGTGTTTTCCTCTCACCTAAAACCAAGCAGGTGCTTTTATTTAAAATCAACATCTTACCTCAAAGGCATGCAGTCAAAACCGAAAGGTACCCATTGCAAGCTACGTAAGTTCTCAACTGACTGCCACTAAGGTTGCAGCAGTTGGCAATTAAGTGCCTCGGTGAACACCGCCTTGCCAGAATTTGCTGAGATATGACTATTTCATGTTCTCGTTTCAAGCTAACCCGAAGGCCGAAGCTGGTGTAATTTTGGTCGCGAGCCCACTTGTCTGTCTGTATCACTTACAAAGGAGAAGTCTGGCGCGTTTTGGCACAGCAGTCGGGGGAAGACAGCCTGTCTCTGGACGCGCTCCTCGTCCTCAAACACGTTGCCATACATAAAGCCGTTCAGCATAGTGGAGTGGGCATGAACATCAATGTAGAACTCCAAACTGACTCTCTGATGGAGGAAAAGAGAAAGAGAACAGAGGGACAGGGAAACAGACAGATGATAAAAAAAACATCAGGTTAGCCGGGATACTTTTCTGTCAGCGAGCAACACTCCACATCAGAGATTCTCCGCTGGGAGTAAGGAAAGTCCTCTCTCGGCTCTGGGGATACTTCGCCGGAGAGAGGCTTTCACCCATGGGATGACAACGAAACCCTCCAGACACCGAAAATACGCTGATACCTAAAAGGAGCCAACCACCCACACATAACTTCCATCAGGCTGTCCTTCTGAAGGGCACGGTTTCAGTACGTACATGGTCGGGTGAGCCGAGAGCAATATCGTGAAAATACGCACGCTCAGGTGGACGTCGCAGATTCATCACGCACACCAAATGTATTTATCAGGTTAATCCCGACTTCATATTGAGAGTGTAATGTCTTTTCTCTCTAGTACACTCTGTGTAAAATGGATTTGATAAGATCTGTTTCTCCAGCTTGACTCTGCTATCACTCAGTCTACACACACACACACACACACACACACACACACACAGAGTTCGAGAGAGAGACTTTTATCTTATGATACAAATAAATGGCATATTTTTCTGACCTCCAGCTACAACCTTTGCTATAATATGACAAGATGCAGGACCATCATAATACACAAGTATTACTCCAGATGCCTCCCACAAACAAGGAGGCATCTGGACACTACCTACCAGCTGTGAGAATCACAACATTCCAGTTTGAAAGATTTAACATAATTGTGTGCAACGTCACAAGATTTGATTTTTTTGGAGTCAACAATCAGAGCGCAGATCAGAACAGCCAATTTAAAGAAGCGCGGTCACACTAATTCAAATGGCGTTTAATTAAAACACGTGACAACACGAAGTTCACACAGAAAAATAATTGAGTGCGACACAAAGAGTAAATTCGCTCTATTTCTGAAAGCACTGCTAATGGGTGTGATTGTCTACAAACTGAGAACAATAGTTAGATGGCTCCTGGAAACATTAAAGTATATAATTATTGTAAAAGCATTCGATTTTTTCTTCTTTCCACATTCAAACCTTTGTTTTCTACAGCTGTGACTGACTTGCAGATTTTCTTTCTTGTGCCATTTCAAGTTATTAAGACACACTAGTACACACTAATTGCCAAAGCATCACTCAAAATGTGGATGGTAGTATTTATAGTATTATCTGGCAGTAGCGGTTTATCTGCTTTTTGCATTTCTCTCAATAAATGACAACATGCTGCATAATTTAACTATATACGATTCAAAATAAACCCAGACCTGCTTTTATCTCACACTGAGATTATGATTCCTGAACTGGAATCCTAAAGCGAAACAAGGTGTGGTGAGAGGACTGGCAAATATGACCTCACTTGGCTAAAACCTTCTCACTTCAGCAGTCTTACACTGGTTCTGACAAGGGCGAGCACACAAGCCCTCACACAACCCCCCCCACCCCCCCCACACACACACCTCCAGACCCTTAACTCCAGAGCAACACCCGCCAGCGCCATCCCTCCTCTCTGCCTCCTCTATCTTATCACATTGTTCCCCTTTTCCTACTTTTATCCTTTCATTCTGCTTCTTTTCCTTCTTTATCTCTTCCCCTCCCTCCTTCCCACTCGGCTCATTAACGATTCCCTACCACACCTTGTTCCCCTGTGGGTCGTAAAGAGGAGGAGGGATGGAAGAATGAGAGGATGGAAAAGGAGAGAAGAGGGTATGGAGTGAATGAGGGGTGGAAGAAGGGAAGGATGGAGGTAGGAAAAGCCAAAAGGAGAAGGGAACAGCAAAGATGGACAAAAGGCAGAGGAGGAAAACAATGCGCATGGCTGTGCGTATGTGTGAGTATGTGGAGAGACAGCGATGGGAAAACAGAAAAGCACAGAGATGGGGGTGGAAAGAGAGAGAAAAGGAGAGAATAAGTATATAAAGATGAACAGAGAGAGGGCGAAAATGAGAGAAAGACAGAAAGAGATAGAGAGAGACATAGAGATGTGTGTAGGGAGATTGGCAGGAGAGAGACTAGAGAGAGAGAGAGAGAGGGAAGCAGTGCTTGGGCGGCCCAAGCGACGCAGTGTGCCTGTGTTTGAAATTCCGCTCACAGCCAAAGCAATTTCCTGGCGGTGGCTGTGCTGTCAGCTGCTTGGCTGGCTGGCGGTGAAATATGGTGGCTGGGAGTCGGCCGCTAGCAGCCCCCGACAACCTGATGGATGGAGCCCCAGAGGAGAGGAACAGCAGCAGGAGAGGGTAGGGTTGGGTGGGGTAGGGGGAGCGTGGGGAGAGGAAGGGAGAAACAAGAGAAAAACAAAACAAACAAAAAAAAGAGGGAACGAAGGTAAATGCAGCCAACTGAGCAGCGGTGGTGGTGGGAGATGTGTATTAAGTATATGTACATGCATATGTATGTTTAAAGTAAAATAAAAGGTAAAATAAAAGGGTAAAGAATTCGAAAGCAAATCAGGAGGAAGACGGAGAAAGTACAGAAAGGGAGAGAGCAGGAAAGGAAGCTCAAGGTGTGCCAGGCAAAGCCGGGGAAACCAGCCTAATAATCTCCTGGCTCTCCCCATATGTGGAGGGGGAGGAGTGAGAGGAATGCGAGGAGGAGGAGGTAGAAACGGCTAGATTGGAGGAGGGCGGGCAAGCAGGTAAATGGTAGATTGGGTGCAGATGAGAGGTTAAACGGGTGTTAGATGGCTGTGTGGAATCACGGTGAACCTAAGGTGTGTACACTTTAATCAAATGTGTGTAGAAATGCAAAAACAATTATAAATAACACTCTGAACAGCCTGCTAGCTGACTCTAGGCAATGTCTCTTGAGGCCAGAAGACAAAATATTATCTTATCAACTAAGAATTCATCTTAAATGTTGTTGGGTTATTGTTATCTTGCCTCTTCCCAAACCCCAAACACACACACGTTTATCTGAAGACAGCTGGCTGTATAAACATCGACATGTGTGTGGATTGATGTCCGTTTCTGTGTGTTAACCTTGCGATGAATTGGCTCCTTTCCCCCCATGACCTCAACAACATAACGTAATGCATGTAGGGATTATTAATCTGCAGCAACATAATTTTGGAGTAAAAACCAAACCATGCCCCAAAGTACACAAAGTATACTGACTGCCGTTTCTAGATTCCTTTTGCCAATTTATTCTGGAGACTGAAAGCGAGCCCACAGACTCATGGAAGAAAAAACTGAGCTTCAGGAACACTGTAAAGAGAGAAGTTGAGTTACCTGACTCACATATTCATGTTCACAAAGTGAGACAACCAGATAATCCTGATAAATCTATAAGCGCTATAAAGCTGTGTAATAACTCTTCATTCTGTGACAGGTGAACACACCTGTCAGGCATATTTTTGAATTATACCTTCATGCAGTTGTTTTCCTTAGATTTATAGTGTACATATTATTCTCCCCAAAAGGGAGGAAAGCTGTAATCGGTTCTGTTTGTCTGTCTTTCTGTTTGTTAGCAGGGGGAGTTAGTTATCTTGTCTTTTGACCTATCACCTTCAGTTCTATCATTTCAATGCTCTAATCTAAACCCACATGGTTGCCACATGCTACAATGGTCTCCTTCGCAGTATATTGTGAAGGACACTAAAAAAAAGGCAGTAACAGCCATGGCACCCCCACAATGTCATGTCCATGCTTAATACAATGTTCAGCTAATGCCCTGCCAATCAAACTGAGACGGTTCTGAAGGCCCCACCAGTGTGATTGATGCTTCAATTAACAACCCGCTCTGACCTCCAAAATTGTTCATTTGAAATTGTAATTAAGCAATTAGGGGCAATTAAGAAACAGAGACTGCCGAAAGAATGTCAGAAGACAATTTGAGAGTGCGAGAGAGAGAAACAGAGAGTGAGTGTCCAAATGAAACCTCTCAGAGAGAAACAAAAGCTTCAGAAACTCCAGGGAACTCTCAACTTGCGGTGAACTTGCAGTGGCGGCAAACAGTTTAGTGTAAAACCTAGAAGGTCAAACGAATGAATTTTGTCAGACAAGTACTTATCTGCTGCATATTAATTAGAGCAGGGTGCGGGGGTGCGATGAGGGCTGTAAATGCTGGGCTTATCTTTACACGGAAAGGAAAAAGGAGCTGATTGAAGCAGGATTACAAGCTCCTGAATAAAGCTCTTGGCATCAGCAGCATACCTTTTGGGGAGAAGGGGAACTGCTGCTTGTTCAGGAGAAAAAAAGTTAAGTCTACTAGTATAATGCATTTTATCCCGCATTAATTATCCAGTATAACACCTGTGGGAGGACTGTTGTGCATTTTTCTGTCTGCAATATGGCAGTATATGAAGCACTGGCAGTTGCAAAGAAAGGGACGTTGCTAGCCCCTTTGACAGGTTCACAGCTGATTCATTCAAAAACAATGAAGGGACTTTAAATGTGAGCTCGGGGGCGGAAAAATAAAGCTAAAGAAGAGACCTGAGTCTGGCTCTAACAGAAGCCACTCCTCCTGTTAAACTATACAGCACAAGTAAGCATGATACAAGCAACTGGAGATAAAGTATCTGAATTTCAGGAGCAGGACCACACCTCCAAACACGCTCCTCTCGGTTCTCATCTATATATGTTCCCCCAGTTCTACAAGCTGTTTGTTCTCGTTTCCTCCCTCCCATTTTCACTTCTATTTAGTACATGGGGATCTGGCAGGCCCGGAAGCTGCTGCCAGTCCCCTTTGAGGTCTTTCCCAAACCACAGTTCAATTCATGTCCAAGCCATTCACCTTTACCTATTAAAACCCTGTCAAGCCTCAAATGAGGACGTGGGCCCAGCGAGTGAAATAAATATCTTAAACAAAATGGTGCAAAAAAAGATTTTGTTCTAGCCAAACCGTTAGCAAGTTGCTAGTAGTTGTCGCTACGAGTATGTAGCACAGCACTGAAAACCTCTTTGAGATTCGTCTTATTGATAACAGATTGCCGAGTTGCCTGTAGTTTGGATGGAAGATGCTAATTGCTCACTGAGCAGAA